ATAGAGAAAATTTTAAATTTAAAATAACCTCTTTCTAGACATATTTTACAAGTGTTTTAAACTTTCACATAAATTTTTATAATACACAATTTTCATATAAAATGAAAGGTTTCATATTTTTCCTGGGCACTTAAATACACATATAATTTCATCATATTGTTTCACGAAAGGGAAGAACATTATTTCAAATGTTTAAAAAGTGTGAAACACATACGTACACAAAATTATTTCATATATACTTTTTCATCAAGTGTGTGGTGATTCTTTATCTACAAGAAAATATTGTACTTATTAGAGATTGTTACAAACAGGAAAGTTTGTTTTTTTATTTGTTGGAAAGGTCCTTTGAATCAGAGTGATTGAAAGTCCACCATTGTTGTTGGTGTTTGAAAATCAAAGAAGTGGTGAGCTTCTTTGTTATTGTTAGAGTGATCATTTATGTTGCTCTCCTTGTCCTTTATGTAGAACTCTGCTCGAGTGACCACTTCTGTTAAAGAAAGCGACAATTTCTAGGAGAGAGACTCGTTAAAGTGTCCCACCTTGAATCCTTTTTGGAATCCATCCGCATACATTTCTTGGTTTGGGGTGACCTAGATGATAGTAGTCAGATTAGTACATCTTTATACCATTTAATAACCTATCTTATACTATTTTCGTTTTTTATTATAAGTTGTTTTAGAATTTTCACATGTATTAAAAAAATAATTATTATTATATGAAAATAAGAAATTATGAATATTTTTATTAAATTATTCTTCATTAATATAACATAAAAGATAAATTTTACATAATTGAATGAAGAGATAACAATAAACTTTAAAATTATAATTAAAAAAATAATATTAATTGTTCATTAATGATGTAAAATACTAATTTATATTGTGGTATAATTTTTTCTTCAAAATGATTTATAATAAAAAAACAGAAAGAAAACACTTTACTATTATTTTGTCATTGAAAAACTAATGACGTCCCATTATTAAGAATCCTATGTCAAATATATATAATTTAAATAAATATTTGAGAATGAGATCGATCTTTATTTAAAAGAGAATTTGAAAGATTAAATTAGTTTCACTGCATGTCAACAATAGTGTTATACTAGTTTGGTTCAAGATGCATTGAGGCAAGGCAAATTTAGTTTTAGTACTAGAAAGAGTAAATAGTTACGTATAGTTGAACAATTTTTATTTCTTCATTTTGTGTGGTTTACATCAATTTTATAGATTCAATGAATATGTCAGATTTAATTACATGATACTTCACACGTATTTTGTCAACGCTTTTTTGTAAAAATTTATTTTATCTATTTAAATATAATGTTAGCTCTAACAAAAGTATAACTTTTTAATTTTAATATCTCAAAATCTATTACTTTTTTATTTTAAAATTTTGTAAATATTTTATTTTTTCTTTGATCTTTAATATTTCTTCGGTTTCATATTAAATATATGTTTACAATATTTATTTTCTTTTGGCTTATATTTTAGTTGTCCTATTTAATATTTTAACATATTTAATTAAATAATAATGTTGAAAACTAAACCAATTTAAAAAAACTTATTTATTATATTTTAGTTCAAATGATTATTATATTAATTACAATTAATAAAAACATTTATTAATAAAATTTAATATTCATTAAATAAGCATACTAATCGTACTTCTATTTATATGAAAAAATATTTTCTTTTTATTGAAAATTTATTAATATTATAATAGATTATTTTAGTAATCAATGCACCGTCTAAAAACATTTAGTTCAACAGTAAAAAATCAACAAAATGTTGTTTTCGCATTAAAAAACTAATGAAACAGCTCAGTCAAAAACTATACTGCATAATTTCTTTTACGGTGGCATAACCTTGAAATGCGTGAATAGATAAATCATATTTTTGATAACACTTGTACAAGGCTCAATTTTAATAATAAATTAAAATCTTTCTACATTTAAAAAATCAAAATTAAATGATTTTTCATAAATATAAATTTAATTACATTGCAGGTAATTATTAAAGAGATTTTTAATTTAGTAATAAGATCTAGTCTTTCAAAAAAAGTCAATTATATAAAACCCAAATTATATCAATACTCGATCTTTAAAAATAAATAATAAAAAAAAATCCAAAACTGATAAATTAACGCAATCTCCATCTTATTAAGTACTTTAACTTTTTTTTCTCTCTAATTTTCATTTGTTTTAGCGAAATTTCACTCGAGCTAAAAAAAAAAACACGCACCTTATGTATGATGACACGCGCTTAAAGTTAGCGTGATTGCATAATTCAATTCATTAGATTACCGAAAATTGAAGTTCGTTATTAAATAATACGATAGAGAAGAGTCCGTTTTGACTTTGATACGGTTCGATATGAACTGTCCGATGAACTTGAATATGGTCGAAACTGAAAATCTTAAATGAACCGACGGTTTGATCTTAATACAAATTCTGAATTGAAATATTCCACACTCACATTTCAAAACCCAAAAATATTAATACAAATGCAACGACAACATTAATAACAATTAAAACAATACAGAATTTTAAACTGTTTTACCACTAACACATACACATATATCTATGTAAAAATTACAGTAAATATTTTCTTTATACAAAAGCATAATGACAAAACAATTTAAAAAATATATAAATTGCCTTAAACAAAATAAAAATAAAAATAAAAACATATATTTGTTAGTGTCCACAACTAAGAAAACACATATTTTTAATGTCACAAAAAGACATTTTTTTTTTATCTTATAATGTTATTTTCGAGTTGCATGAAGTTTTAAAAATTTATTTCATTAATTTTAATAATAAAATTTTTTTTAAAAAAAAAAATTCTTTTTCATTTATAATTAAAAGATTAATAAAGTGAAATAAAAATTAATAAATAAATATAAAATAAAAATTATTTGTAATAAATTTAAAATAATAGATCAATATGTGACAGGTTGATTTGCAATGCAGAAGAAATGTTTTTTATTGACTTATTTTCTAATCGATCTGACTGACTGACTTATTTTTTAACAGATGACTGAGACTTAATCCATTGATTTCAGAATTAAATCAACACATGATAAGGTGATTGGGAAGAAAAAATGTTTTTAACTGACTTATCTTATAAAATTTAGGATTGGTTAGTTATTCTTTGATTTCAGAAGTAAATCAACATGTGTAGGGTTATTTGCAATATTGAGGAATATTTCTATTGACTTAATCAGTCTTTATGAATGAGATTTGGTCCATTAATTTCAAAAGAAGATACATAGTACAGATTGATTTGCAATGCAGCAGAATGTTTCTGATTGATTTATTTTCTAATTGGTCAGTCCTCATGACAACATGGTCCATTGATGTCAGATGTAGATCAATATGTGGTAGGATGATTTACACTGCATAAGGAATGTTTCTGATTGACTTATTATCAAATTGGTCAGTGCTCATGACTTCTTGGTCCATTGATGTCAGATGTAGATCTATGTGGTAGGGTGATTTACACTGCATAAGAAATGTTTCTGATTGACTTATTTTCTAATTGGTCAGTCCTCATGGTCCATTGATGTCAGATGTAGATCAATATGTGGCAGGGTGATTTACACTGAATAAGGAATGTTTCTGATTGACTTATTATCAAATTGGTCAGTGCTCATGACTACTTGGTCCATTGATGTCAGATGTAGATCAATATGTGGTAGGGTGATTTACACTGCATAAGGAATGTTTTGGTCAGTGCTCATGACTACTCATGAGTATTTGGTCCATTGATGTCAGATGTAGATCAATATGTGGTATATCAGATGTAGATCAATATGTGGTAGGGTGATTTACTGTTTCTGATTGACTTATTATCAAATTGGTCAGTCCTCATGACTACTTGGTCCATTGATGTCAGATGTAGATCAATATGTGGCACACACTGCATAAGAAATGTCTCTGATTGGCACACACTGCATAAGAAATGTCTCTGATTGACTTATTGTTCAGTCTTCATGATTGTGATTTGGTCCATTGATTTCAGAAATAGATTAATATGTGTCGAGTTATTTATCGTATAGACAAAATATTTGATTGATTTATTTTCTAATTGGTCAATCCTCTGACTGTTATAATATTGAATATACAAAGAATTATGATTATATCAGATTTAAGAACAATTTTTTTTATATTAAATATATTAAAATAAATTAAATTCAAATATAATATTATTATTAATAATAATTTGATAATAAATAAATATATATCCAAACAATAACAACAATAATTATTATAATGGTCTTGTTAATCTTAAAATTAAATATTGGTTAAAAAATATACAAATAGAAATTGTGTTAAAAATATAAGCAAACATTTTTCTTACCAATATCTTGAAAGCACCTGTAAACATTTTTTTAATAATAATGGTAATTTAACTTAAATAGATAAATTATATTTATAAATATCAAAATTTCATTCTACAATTTTTTTGTTATTCATAATCCGTTAAGATATTAAATTTTTTCTTTTTGATCATTATTGTTTTATTTTAATATTTATAATTTATATTAAATCTGATTATTGTAAAAAAATAGTTAGTTTTAATCTTCAAAATAATTTCTAAATTGTATATTATAGATCTCAATTTAAACATAAACGTATTTCATAAAAACAAACAATATACAAAAAAATTAAGAAAAATTAAAAAAAGATTTGATCAACCGTAAAAAAAAATTGTTTAAACTTTTGATTCTGTATTTTATTTTATATTTAATATCATAAAGAATATCATATATTTGAAAAGAAAAAAATCCAAAATAATAAATGAGAAAGAAAAAATCCTAGCTTTCCTCCGTTATATTCACCCGAATCAATTCAACCCATAAAGACCCACCATCACTTCTCTCTTTCTCATTCTCTCTAATGTGTCTCATGTGTTTCTCCGAAAACACAACCTTTTAACACTGTTTCTTTTTCCTTATTTTCTTCGTTGATTCTTCATCACCGGAGAGAAAAAAAAAGAATGTCATCCTCTTCAGGTTTCAATCCCCGTGGTGGTGGATCGTCGGAGTATTACGCCGGCACACCAATAAACACCCTGAACAACCTTATGTCAACAACCCCTTCCCTCTCCATCAACAACCTGAATCATCCTTCTCTTTACCGAACCCAACACCATCTCCAACAACAACACCACCACCCACAACAACAACAACTTCCTCCAATTTTTCTAGATCCTTCCTTACAGATCCCTCAACATCGCATCATCGGAAAACGCACCTTAGCTGAATTCCAAACCCAACAAAACCAAACCTACAATCACAACCTTAACCTCAACAACAACCACCTTAACAACAACCATCACAATCATGCTCTTTCAAATCTTTTACTTCGTGCAGTAAAACCAAGAACCAGTTTCCAGTTTCATAACAATAACCCTTTGTCTTTCTCTGTCCCGGAATTACAAAACCCTTCATCTTTCAATAACAACTTTCAAACGCCGCGTTTAGGTGTTCCTTTACTTCACCAGCTTCGCCCTCAACCACAACCACAACCACAACCAATTAACCCACAATCAATCAACCCGAATTTCCACTACCGAAACTCCAATTTAGGCCAAGTGGTTAACCGGGTTCAACCCGTTGAGCCGGAGAAAAAGATCAACGACGATCAGAAGATTCTGCAAGAATTAGAAAAACAGCTTCTTGCAGATGATGATGAATGTGAAGAAGGCGATGCTTCGGTTATTACAACAAGTGAATGGACAGAGACTTACCAGAACCTACTAAGTGGGCCTGGTGGGCCCGATGGGCTCCTGTGTGGGCCTATTCCAGTCCCAGTCCCAGCCCAGAAACCTTCTTCATCATCTCCAACCACATCCACAACTTCATCAACTTCCACTGCAGCAACTTCGCATGCATCGGTTTGTTCAAGACAAACCCTAATTGAAGCGGCTTCTGCAATTTCAGATGGTAAAAACGACGTCGCTTTGGAGATCTTAACACAACGCTTGGGTTTGAATTCGAATCCCAATGGAAATTCGGATCAACGCTTAACCAATTGCATGGTCTCGGCTCTGAAATCGAGGATGAATCCGTTTGAAACACATTTCCATGTTGCTGAGCTCTTCGGGAGAGAACATGCAGAGTCGACTCAGCTGTTTCTGGAAAACTCGGTTTGTTTCAAGGTGAGTTACATGGCTGCGAATCTTGCGATTTTGGAATCTGCATTTGAGGAAAACGGAAGAGGCTTCTGTGTGGTGGATTTCGAAATTGGACAGGGGAAACAGTACGTCAATCTCCTGCACGCGCTTAAAGCGCGTGATATTGCGCTACCGCCAGGTTTTACTGTTAAGTTAATCGCTGTGGCGGAGAACGGCGGTGATGAGATGGTTATAGCTGTCGGGGAGATGCTGGTTCGTCAGGCGGAGAGGCTGAGAATCGGTTTCGAGTTTCGTCTTGTTTCTGTTTCTCAGAGACAGGTAACTGAGCTGAGTCGCGAGTTGTTAGGTTGTGACTCGGACGAAACGCTTGTGGTGAATTTCGCGTTTAAGCTGAATCGGATTCCAGACGAAAGCGTTTCAACTGAGAATCCACGCGACGAGCTTTTACGGCGCGTGAAGAGACTCTCCCCGCGCGTGGTAACTGTCGTGGAGCAAGAAATGAACTGTAATACTGCGCCGTTTTTGGCTCGAGTTGCTGAGTCATGGTCTTACTACTCTGCTTTGTATGACTCGGTCGAGACTGTGTTAGGGAAGGATAGCCTGGAACGAGTCAAGATCGAAGAAGGACTGAGTCGGAAGATAAGGAACTCGGTGGCGTGTGAAGGAAGAGACCGTATTGAACGGTTTGAGGTATTCGGGAAATGGCGGGCGCGTATGAGTATGGCGGGGTTTATGTTGAAACCGATGAGTCAAAACGTTGCTGAGTCAATAAAATCGCGTCTTGCTGGAGGTAATAACAGCCGAGTTAACACAGGACTCACTGTGAAAGAAGAGAACGGTGGGATTTGCTTTGGTTGGATGGGAAGAACACTCACCGTTGCTTCTGCTTGGCGTTAACTTTGCCCACTTTTTTTTTTTGTTCTTTTGTTTGTTTTATTTTATTTTCAGTTGGTTCCATGTTTATTAATATCTATATATGTTACATTGTCACTACTATATTGTAACGTTATCTAGACATAATAATGGAAATGCATAGAGAATAATAAAATTTGGATGAATAATCCATTTTCAACTCACCAACATAATTTTTATTTCTAATGCAGCTTAGTGCTCATATTTTCACTCTTCATAAATGATGAATAAGTTAGAGATGTCACGAGTTCGAAATCGAACATATGATGTTTCTGTGTATTGTTATCACTTGAGTTGGCTAAACGGAATAATTAACTTACATAAAATACAATTGTATGGTTGATTTATTTTATTTTATTTTGATGATATTCACTTAGGTATGTGAAAGGAGTTGGTTGAAGTTTGGTAGATATAGCTAGCTTGTATGCATTGGTTTGCCCTTACAATACCGACAAATGAGGGCTCCACACTTTAAGATGTGCGATTTTGGGGTTTTAGTTGGAGTTGGAACTTCCCTATTATCTAATTCTGCTTCCAATTTTGTAAAGTCTTCTAAAATAATGTTATCTGCATCTATGCAATTCATTCAAGGTATTTTTTGTGGTTCATACTAGAGATTCTTTTAAGCCCAAAAATGGAAATAAAGAAAATTGATTTATAATGTTCAACACAATGTATCATATATAATCAGTATTATAATTGTAGGGATAAAATAATAAAGACTATGGTTCATGCCAAATGATACTATTTATTGTCTTTTGATCTCTCGTGTAAAAAGAATGAGTTTGAACTATTTTCATGAGGCTAAGTCACTCTTGACCTAAGATTTACTATTGAAAAATGGGGAGGAACTTTATTAGGCAAAGGTTTATTAGAACATCGAGTTCATTGAATCTAGATTCTGGTACGCTCAAGCTATGCCCTTGGACTCGAGATTTCAACCCTAAATTACAACAACAACCAACCTCTCATGTTTGGATAAAAAATTTGGGTTGGCCCAAAAATATTCGAGGCCTAAGATTTTGTTTGTAATTTCTAATAATATTGGTACATCTATTTCTACTGATGTTGTTGCAAATAGACCTAAATTTGATAGGGATTATGGCTATTTTGTCAAAATTCCAGTAGATGTGAGTCTAAAGCATGTCCTTGTGTACACAAGGTGCTTGTTGAAAGGACTAGATTCACATTCTTTGTGGATATAGATTATGAAAATTCACATGGATGTACCATAATTCTCTCCCTAAGACATGGTTGAATAAAATTAACATGAAGGTTTTTGCTGTTAACCTCAGGAATAACTTGATGCCTAACATTTGATATCTTTGTATTAATCTATTAACTCTTAGAGTAGTATCCATTAATGATCAACATGCATCTTTAATTATTGATGCCAATGGAAAAGCTTTTGGAATCTTAGGTTTCTAGTATCAGGTGTGCATATTCCTATAAATTCATGCAAATGTGGTCACTACATACTGATTGCAAGAACTCAATTGAAATATTTTGGATAATTAACCTGATTAGATGTTGTACGTTCATTCTGAACCAAAAGCTCAAGCTCCTAAAGATTGAGCTGAAAATCCTAAGAGTTGCTTTGGAAATGTTCAAAGTTAAGATCTATAAGGCCTAATGTACTCATGATAATATCTTATGATGCCTAGTAACAGATATGGTACCCGACACAAGTGCAGGTACTAGTATGGGAATTTCTCTGAAAAATGTATCTATATAAAAAACTAAATTTCTCAGTTTACAACAAAATCATTTATAAGATCCTAGTATACATCTTCAAGGCCTTTGACACCATTGATTGGTCCGTCCTGAATATCTTTTGTTTCCATAACATCTTTTACAATTAGATCTAGAGAATTTAGACAATGAGATATCCTATCTCCTTTACTTTTCAGCCTTGTTGAAGAAGTTTTGAGTATAACAATAACAAACCTAGTCAATGTAGATCATCTAATGTTAATCAAAGGTTTAAGAGATGTTAATATGTCTTCTCATTATTTATATGCAGGTGACATTATGTTGTTCTGCAAGATCTTCCTCTAATATTCAGGTGTTGACTACCTTATTTTCTATATATGCTAATATCTCTGGTCAACGCATAACCCCTAAAAAATCTACTATTTATTATGCCTCAATTCCTCACTTTAGACTTAGAATCATCTCCAACATGCTTGAATTCATTATTAGCACATTTCCATTTATCTATCTTGGTGTGCTCATTTTTAGGCTCTTAATATCATAGTTTTGTGATTGGTTATGTAATATAGTGAGAGAACTGACTTGTTTTGCGTTTTTATCGTAAATGTTGCAGGTAGTTAGAGTCGTCATAGACTTTTTATTTATCCAATATTTAAGAAAGGTGAAAAAAACAGGAAAAACATTTGATGGATTTTGAGTTCGGGAGGGTAAGATATGAAAAGGGAAGGTGTTAATATCCTTTTCACCCATAGTTATCTACGGACTCTTAATTACTTAGCTTATTTTTGAAAACTTGCTTTCTGTGTGATTTGCTTGAAAATATTTTAAAATGTCAATGTAAGGCGAACTTTACAATGATTTTTGTATCAGTCCTCAAGAATGTATGCAAAGTGTTTTGAAAATATTTATTGAAAGTGTAGTGTGAAAATATTTTGTTTGTAAAATTTGTGAGAAAGCAATTAAGAGTTTCTTACCCACTAAAGTCTTTCTTATTATTTTCCTTCTTCTTTAGAGATAATACTATCCATATCATTAGTTGATAGGTAGCCCTATCTGCTGAATGTGAAGGGACATCGAGGGTCGTCGTACAGTCATCGAAGGCAACTGATAAGGACACTTTAGCAATTTTGTAAGGGACTAGATCATTTATCGAAAGACAACGTCGAAAGGGTCATTAAGGGACTATGATCTTTGATTCGAGGGTATTTTGCTAAAGCATCCCTATTTTCGAGGGACATGACTGTTTTATTTCGAAGGCAACAAGAGAGGCTACCCTAGAGGTGCGAGTGTGTTGTTTTCAATTATTTAGTCTTGAATTAGGGTTTTTATAGCGTTTAATTATTATCTTGTCATACAAACCCTAGTTACTAGCAGTATAAAATATAACAAGAAAAGTAAAGTGCATAATTTAAACCTAGAACTATTACAACGCTTCGGGGCAATTACATAAAAAGATGCGAGAAAGTAAAGTGTAAAATTTAAACCTAGACTATTACATCCCATAAACAGTTACATGATAATAAAAAAAAGAGAAAAAAAATAAAATCTAGACTATTAAATTCGCGCAACTTATATAACCGATCTAAGAAATATAAAAGTAGAAAAGAAAAATATTTTTAATGATTTTTTATGAAAAAAATGGTTTATGATAATTAATTAAAACATATTAAATCTAATTAATTTTAATTAAAAAATTAATTAATTAATTAAATTATTAAAATATTAAAAAAAAAACCTAATTTATTTTAATTAAGAAAACCTAAAACTAATTTTTGTATTTTAATTAAATAAAACAAATAATAAAAATAAATAAAAGTAAAAAGAAAATATAAAAAAAAAAGAAACGGGCATGAGTTAGTAAAAAATGAGGTTGTGAATAGCAAGAGGTCCAGGCCCAATTTCCAGCGTTGGATCTAGTGTGAGCAGCTAGGAGGGTGCATCGTGGGCGTGCGTGTTCATGGGCGTTGGATCAGGTCTGTGAAGACCTGATGGTGAGAAACGACGGGCGTATGGTTGATGTGTGGAGATGCGCTGCATATGATCTGTAAAAGTCAGTAAATATGAAAAAACCACAAAAGGCAGGGATCGAACCCACGCCCTTGTACACAAATGCCTTATCGCGTGCGCTTCTATCACTGGAGTGGCTATACATCCGGTAACATAAACGCAACAAATTAAACATAAAATAAATATTATGACATGGACCGGAGAGGCGTCGGAGCCCTAGCTCTGGTCGTCTTATCCAGTGACTATATTTTTTTAACCTGCAAAACAATGGATGTTAGTGATTCCCAGGGATCCTACCCCCCTAATTCAGGCCTTGCAATCTCAATGACGCCATTAGTTTTGGCTGAAACGTGTTGTAGAAAGAGATATGGTGAAAATAACATGGAACTGTATAAGTATGGCCATTCACGATTCAGCCATCATAGGGCTCATACGATGGGTTTTTCCTGCATATTGATACCTCATAAACACATTACCAAGGTTAGTATGCATTAAAACACAAAGAAAAAAAATGAAAATTTATGCAATATGAGAAACCGACGAAACATATACGCGGGTTTCAGGCCCTTTGGATCATCACACCTGATCCCATCTTACCATATAGTTCTTATGGAGAGGAATTTGACAGGTATTTGGCCTTGAGAGAGACTGCAAGATAGGGTTTAAATTTGCCCTAGTTTTTTATATTTTTTGGAATTTTGGAAAGGGTTTCTTGTTGCAAGTATTTTGTGGTTTTGTTATGTCTAAATGAAGAGGATATATATTGCTTGAATTAGGTCAAAAGGTTGTGGGCTTGGACCTTGCAAGAAAAGCCTTGACTTTATCTTATTTAATTTTGAATTTAAATTAATAAAAACCAAAATAAATAAAATAAAAACCCAATGGGTGTATGAATAAGTTCTGAGGTTCACCATGGAGTATGTAACACGCATGGACCTTGAAACAATAGCCCATTAGCCCAAAAATTTAAGTTTGACCACTTTTGGTTTCATGCATTTGCTCAAAATTTCCCAACTTGTACCAACCATAACTCTATCAATTGTTATCATATGAAGGTGATCTTGGACTTTTTGAAAAGCTCAAGATGTCCCCTACAATCTCTATGTTAATCATTTTTGCTTTTCAGTACTTTATCTTGATGTAAGTTTCCTTGACAAAAAGTGTCTTTTTGTTGACATTTGAAATGACCTATAATGTTTTAGCCCATATCTCTCAAATGAAGCATTTTTTGGACTTGAGCTTAGAGAGACAAAGTTGTATAGAAT